GAAGTTGCTGAGTTTTGGCACCTAGACTGTGGATCGTGGGAGGACTTGGTTCAGCCACATGATGCAGCCGCATGGTCCAGGCCCCGTGGACAAGAAGCCTCCATCCAACGGCATCAAGACCCAAGGACTGCTATTCACCAAAGGCTATTCTGGTTGTATGATCTGCTCTCTTGCTACACACAGCTGTTGGCTTTATTAAAACCTATACTTCAAAGAATACTTGTCCTACCAAGGCTGAACACATGCAGGCCTCAGCCTATACCAATCCATTCATAGACAAAGGTCTTGCTTAGCTCACTTTAGCCTAGCATTTTAACAATGTATCTTGAAATCAACGTTTCCTTCATGTTATTCTTGACAATTTGCATAATTCATATCTAGTCTGTATTGTGTATACTTCATTAAATCTACAAAACCATCTTTGTCTGAAAGTGATATTTGTACTTTTAACTCCAGAAATTGGGTCACTGATTTGTAAAAGAATTCACTACCTTCAGATTCTATTGAAGAGAATTGGACTAACTAGCTAATTAAATAATGAAAGGACTCATGAGATTACTTAATCAATAAATTAATTGATATTGTGACGTCATATGCACGTTATCAGTTGGGAGTTATTCCCTGGTGCCCCTAAATAAAGCTATTATCAATTATTGTATTTATTACATGGTTGTTTTTGATCCAATTCTCCGATATCAGGTACATAACTTAAGTTATGTGTGATATCGACATTTTCGAGCTGTGACCTCTTAATCACAGAGGAGACTTAATGTATACAGACAGTAAAATATCAGCTTGTGTTATGTGTAATAGTATTCCCTTCAGGAGGACACACAACTGTCCTGGGAATACAGATGGAAAACAGCCCTTAGGCTAATTCTAGCACATTTGCATGTATAATGTATAAAATCAGCGAACAATATTTCTCTGCATGAACAAAATCTCAGTTTGTCAATCATGTATAGCAGAACAAAGTAAATAAAAACAGCGGGTGCGTTACGTGGTCAGAGGCCAAAGGAAGCAAGAGTTGATACGACCTTGATCTCACTAAAAGAAATGCTGAGTGTGAGAATGACGAGGCACGTTTCCCTTTCCACATTCTAATTATTCATTGTGATCCATTTAAGCTGGGGTACATAACTTTAAAACCAGAAACCTACCTAATAAACCATGTCATAAAAATCCTTTAACTAGCTCCCTTGATCTAAAAACAAATGAGATCTATCACCAGTTATTATTATTATTATTATGTTCTTCATCCTCTAATGCCAAAGCTGCCCATTCTTCTTGTCAAAAAGTATCCGGTTCCAGTAAATTCCTCAGCTGCCTTGCATCAACCACACACTTGAGACTGTGGAGACTCAAGGGCAATACAGGGCAACACACAATCACTAATATAGTAGTAAGTGGGGAAAAAGTGTTATACTCTACTAATCCTGTAAAGGGCCGGTGCTGTATGTGCAAAAGCTCAAGGCAGACTCCAACAAATCTCCACTCACATCTTTCTTTTTCTCTCTCTGCCAGTCTCTGTCCAAATTCCTCAGAGGAAACCCTGGGAAAACGCAAACTCTGCAAAAATAGGGTCATTCCCCACAGTGCAGACCGACTCTGCCTTTCTCTCCATTCCTTCACACCATACAGAGCTTAAAGATGTCACAGTGGTGTAGTGTTTACTGCGGATTAGCTTCATAAAGGACACGCTCGGGAAGTGGAGGTGGGGTTCAAACCAGGACAGGCACATTCATCTCCAGGGGATGCAATGCGGATTATTCATGACACACAGAGCGGTAATTGTCAGGGAATTGTCAAAGCGACGGCAAAACAACGAGGATGGAATCTATTTACAAAGCAGAAGTTGGGGAAATATGCAAAATGTGATGTCAAATATAGAGCGATATCAAAAAACTTCAGCAGTTCTTTGACGATTGCAGCAGAGGGAAGAACATTCAGTGCATCTGCTGTGATGATTTGTGCTTTATAAAATGAATATTTGATGCACAGTCCTTGTTAACCTTGAAAATATGTTAATATTTAGTCTTATCACAATAAATAGAAGGGCCAACCATAAGAAAACGTGGCTTTTACCAGAAACCAGTTGGACTACTCTTGTCCTTTTGACTCCGCTCTCAGCGGTGGAGCAGAAACTGCTCATATGTAGAGAGATAGTAAGGAGTTTTGACATTGTTTTAGTTTGAAGCACTTTTTATGAGCTAATGAAGTTACCATACTCTTTTGGGATGAAAATAGTGACCAGATGAAAATAGTGACCAGATACAGATCGACATATACACACAATTTCTGCCACTTTGTTCACTGCCGGGTGGCAGGGGCAGCTGTGTGAGTAGCTCATCCGTGGATTCCCATGGTATTCCCAGTTCAGCTGAGAGTTATGCACCAGGGAGTGGCAAGGTGGCATCCCAAATAGACGCCCATGCCACCTCAACTAACTCTTTCAACATTGATAATCTTCTTCAAGCTTGTCCCATGTGACCGAGCTCTTCAGCCCATCTCTGGCCAAGTGGCCCAGCCAGGCAGGGGAAACTCATTTCGACTGCTTCTATCCCTGATCGAGGCTTGAATAAAATCCTACCTAGAGCATTAGAAATAGCCCCCACCCAATGTTTATTTGTATTCTTTAAAGATAGACCTTAAAATTCTGCTTTTACGACATCAGCCACAGAAAATCCATATCGGTAAAAATCCTCTTCTTCCATCCCACAACACATTTGACTGTTGCATTTGCTATTAAACTTTTGGAATTATCGCTCTTTTTAAAAGGTGTAACTCAGTTGTATCACCACTTTTTTTTTCACCAAACTCATTTCCATGTGAGACAACACTGAATTCTAGCACGGTTTTTTACTTGAAAGTACATCAAAGGGAGACTGCCGCCTACATGTCAAATTGAAACATGCTCATTGACTTCCTGTTGCAGAATATTAAGATATGCAGAATAAATTAGAACGACTTTGGATACAATATTCATGTGAAAAAGCCCCTTTAAAAATGTCAGCAGCCAGAATAACTATTGTCCCAAACACAACAGCTCTAGAGCGGACATATGGAAGAAAGCCAAGTCTGTGTTTTGTGATGTTTTGAATCGTTTCTCTCCTCTGTCTTTATCTGCCTCGGGACAACAGATGGAAATGAGCTTTCGCGCTATAATCATATTTATTTTTGTCATATTTACCTTGTATTGCAGATGTTCACGCCCTGTCCCTAACTACATGGTTATAAATGATAAATATATGGTTTAATATTTAAATAAAAACCAAAACAATATTAAACCATTGACGTATGCTTATTGCTGAAATGATCTGGGCCTTCAATGTGACCATGTTTCACTGGTAAGTAAGTAAGTAAGTTTTTATTTATATACCGCCTTTTCACTGCAGATCTGAGTCTCAAAGCGGTTTACAATTGTTAATTTTGGGCATTTGTCTCTCACTCCACACAGAGATGGGAGGGGCCAGTACAGGAGGCGCATGGTAGAACTATTGTACATATTTTTAGTGGTAGGGGAAACCGGAGTACCCGGAGGAAACCTACGCAGACACGGGGAGAACATGCAAACTCCACTCAGAAAGGCCCTGGTCCGACCAGGATTCGAACCCAGGACCTTCTTGCTGAGAGGCGAGAGTGCTATCCACTCAGCCACCGTGCCGGTCAAGGGGCAGAGTTCAGAGTGACATGGTAGGACTGAATACCGAAGTGCACAAACTCAATCATTCTACGTCAGAGTTAAACTGTGACGGGGTGAGCCCGTCCCTGAGCACGCTGTCCCACGGAGCGCATCTGAAGTTGCGTGCGCCCGGTGCCACGGTGGCTGCGCGCCGCGCCCAAACCCATTCATTGACTACTGACAGTAAGGACTGTGTTTGTGACATGTAGCGTGCGGTAACGCGCCTTCAGGGCGCACTTGGGGCAGTTAAATCTGTTACATGTGTCATTCACTCGCCTGTGCTGGCGAGGTCGTGGCGTCTCCATGGTGCGTTTTGGCAAACCCGGACACAAGGAGCCATAGGATTAAATGCACCCATGTCTGTGGGTCATGTGACCACAGCTCATTTGCATAAACATTTGGACTCTTCGTAGTGTGCTCATAATTTATTTCATTGTATATGTGTCAATGTAGAACTGTAATCTGAAATCATGAACCTAAGGAAAGCACCATGTATTGTAGATATGGTTGGTTATTAGGATGATTGGTTTTGTAATGTGGGAGGGGCCGGCAGGGTACATAAGGTGTGCTTGTCTGCCCCATGGCAGCTGTGACTTGGTTACAGTGAAGGTAACGTGGACTGCAGGAGTGAGTGTTACAGTATAGGGAAAAGAGACTTATTGCAGAAGTCGTGTATATTTCTATTTGTAAATATCCTTTTCGCCTGAAGACTTTTCACTGTGCTCTGTTAATACGAGTTTTGTAATTTCCCACTGTTTTTTCTACTGAGAGTTTTAATTAAAAACTTCTGAAAACGCCCTTTCCGACCTAGCCATGTGTTCTGTAAAAAGAACCCTCACATAAACCAACCCATTTCATTTTTCGATTTTGCTTTGCTTCTTACTTTGCTTATTGCGGGCCAGTCTTAGAATCAATTATACAAACTATATAAAAATGATCAACAGGTGTCCTAGATTATCACTAAAAAACAGGATCACATTATGAATAGAGTCAAATAAAAAAGAACCCAAAATGCACTGCAACTAAAATTGTAATATCATTTAATAAAACTAAATCTAGGATGGAAATAAAACCCAGAAATCCAGAAGTAAAAAAAGCCAAAAACAAAATGTGGGATACACAATGGATGGACAACAGTGGTGAAAAACACAGAATACACACACAGGGAGATACAGGTGAATACCATGAAAACAATGACAGTAGAACTTTAGACTCAACAACACAGCAACGCACTTCCATACTCATATCAAATAGAAGATAAATAGATGCACTCCTTGTCCCGACTGGTCCTAGTCCTGACTGGTCCTAGTGAGTGTGCATGGGCAGATGGGGCAGGGCCGGAGCCACTCTCATCACTTGCTTGGGCTGCCTCTGCTCCTGCACCTGTCCACCACACTTAATGGTCCCGCTGCACCTGGAGAGGCCATCACGCTCTGCCATCAAAGCTCTGGAGCCCACTGCGGAGAGGGGGGCCAGCCTGTACCTCCTGCCGGGTGTGTGTGGGTCTGCAGGAAAGACCAATGTTCAGATCTGGTCCTCTTGAATGATACATGGCCGTGCCACGAGATCATCCATGGGGAAATGTGTCCGCTGCATTTCATGTGTCCTTGCATTGGCCAAATTTGGACCAGTCTCTGAAGCACATTGCCCAAGGATGCATGATGATTTTTGGGAAGATGTGGTAAACTGGAGCTGCTGGAAGCTATTATTTTGCTCTGGAAGTAGGGAAAAATCTTAGAAACTCATTAATGTTAGATGAGAGGTTTGTAAAATTGTTGAGCCCCTCAGAATCCAAATCTTTGTTCTACCAGGAGCACACTTTAGATTCTACAACTAATATTTTGTTAAAGATGAGCTATAACAAACACTGGATATCTAACCATGTTCATGTTTTTACCTCTTATTTTGCAAAATGTGAAACTTTTACACTTCTTTCTATTATTTCATTATTATTTTCATAGTTGATATTGATGCTAGAGTTAGAAATGTTGTTTTGTTTTAATTAGTATAGCTATTGTTCACTTAACTTGGGCTGTGTGCGCCCCTTTCCTACTGTGTAATAACTTGTGATGCAACACTGAAATTTCCTTGCTGTGGGACCAATAAAGGATCTCTTAATCTTAATCTAATATCCCTAACATTTTGTTAACAAGCACATCAGTCATTGACCAAATAAACAGGCATTAAAAATCCTCATTGGCCAAACAGATTTACCATACTTTTGTCAATTGCTTAAACCCCAAGTTGAGGTCAATGAATGTATCTTTATCATGTTATAGACTGCCCCCTGGAGGGTAACAGCATCCTGCGCACGGCAGAACTGACGCAAACCGCTCATGTCCCGTGTCCTCATGTCCCGTGTCCTCATGTCCCGTGTACTGTATGTAGCTTTGAAACCCTGGCAAAAATGTTCGCATGGGACCAACCACAGAAATGGGAAAGCCGGTAAGACGATGATGAGACAGGAGCTTGAAGTTTGATTCCAGATCCAACATGACATATCTTCCCTAATGTTCAACTGGCAACTCTGTGTAAAGATTGTCTTTTCCAATCAGTCCATTCTTGTTGTATTTCTGACACATTGAGTATAACTGATAAAATAGACGCATATGATAGACCCAATAAACAGCTTTGGATACTCTCAAACCACACCTCTCCGGCCAAGCGTCAGATAGGCTTCTTTGTCCATATTGTGCAATACAAAATAAGTTTATTGTTATAGAGATCCGAAAGTTACTATCATCTTTGGGCTAATTTTGCAGGACACAACGATAACACAATTAAGCGAGCCACATTTTCCCGTCAGGCAAACACTGGTTTCAACAGCAGACTGGTTACGGTTACAGAAGAACCCCACCCTCTGCCACACTTTATATGAAAGCTTGTGTTTTGCCTGCCGTTATTTCCTGTCTGCCACCTTATAAAGTGCGTGTTTGACTTAATGTGGCCAGTGTATTCCCCTCACAGCGGCCCCGGTGTCTGCAGAAGATTGGGTAGTGGCTTCAGGAGAGATGGATGTCAGGCCGGATGCTTATTACACTTTGGGAGCAGCACAAAAAGCCGGTCAGGGCACTTCATCCATCATATGTTTGCACTCACCCCTCATATGTCCTGAGCAGATCATCAGACTATAGTACGGTCTCGCAATACCTAAAATGTCCACTGAGGACCTGGGACCTCATTTGTTAAACTTTAGAAGTCTTACTGGAAGTGTATGAATGAATGTATAACTTCCTTGAAGCTGGGGTACCTAATTTTCAACCCCCTCAAAAGCCAATCAGCTCTCAGCTCAAAGCTCTGAATGGTGACTCACAGAATTAATGATGACTGTATTATTCATTAAATAAACTTAACGTTGGATCCTTGTTCTCTCCTCATTGTGTCAGCTCAGGTTTCTATGAAAACTATTTTCTAATGTTAGATGGCCGTCACAATTCTCATTGGTCTGGACTTTTTTGTTTATGTCAACACCATTCCATTTAACCAGGACACCTTTAAAAAAAACCTATGTTACAAATGACTACCGCATTGCTTGACGTTTGCGTCTCTCAACCCATTCTCTGCCCCATCGCCTCTGACATTACACCCGCTTTATTGCTCGATTACCACATCTCCCAAATCCACTCTGCTGTGCGCTTGATTAAAAGAGAATTTGCCTGCGGCGTTGACACATGCACACACAATCGCCTGTGCCATTAACATTGCGATATCTCTTTAACCTGGATGTCAGCAGTTCTACTTCTACATGAGCGTCAGTGGTGGAAAAAAAAAACAAGCAACATGTCCACTGATAAGCGCCTCATCCCATTCGCCTGATCGAGTCGGCCTGACACCATGAAGGGCGGCACGGTGGCTGAGTGGATAGCACTCTCGCCTCTCAGCAAGAAGGTCCTGGGTTCGAATCCCGGTCGGACCAGGGCCTTTCTGAGTGGAGTTTGCATGTTCTCCCCGTGTCTGCGTAGGTTTCCTCCGGGTACTCCGGTTTCCCCTACCACTAAAAATATGTCCAATAGTTCTAGCATGCGCTTCCTGTACTGGCCCCTCCCATCTCTGTGTGGAGTGAGAGACAAATGCCCAAAAAATAACAATTGTAAACCGCTTTGAGACTCAGATCTGCAGTGAAAAGGCGGTATATAAATAAATACTTACTTACTTACTTACTCCCCATAAACAGCGTGAGTCGAGTAATTTAAGCGGTCTAAGCTGGCGTCTGCGCAGGCCGAAGGTGGGGAGGGGAGGCGCAGATGGAGCCACTGATGAGGGCGAGGCTGCGATTAGTGGAATTGTATTTTAACAAGAATTCATTGGTTTTGTCAAGTCTAGTTAGACAAAATGTTAAATAGAACATTCAGCTGATGCAGTCTTTCTGAGGGCTTCCAAGAGAGCTGCTCAGGGGTCACAACTTTAGCTTCAGGGCTCCTTTGTGGAAATTGTGTTCATAGCTCATGCATCAGAATACTATGCTAATTTTTGTTCAAAACGAGACGAAAGGTAAGAAAGGCTTAGCCAAACTTATGTTCCACATTACAGTATCTAGTAGAGTCTGGTGTGTGAATGGTTGGTGGTGGTCGCAGGCACCGATGGCACAGATTAGTGGCCTTGCTTCCATCAGTCTGCCTCAGGGAAGCTGTATCATTGCAATAATAGTGAATCATATGGGGGACCCAAGAAATACCCTCATGGATTCTAAGTTGGAATACACTGGGCTTGAGTTTTTGCAGTGGTCTTTGTACCCCTCGCTGGGAAACGCTGGACTACATGGATGTATACACTGTGTAACATTTTGATTGTCAATTGATTATTATGAAAATAGCGGGGTTGACACAATTACAGATTTAACATTGAGAGTATGTTCCAGGTTAAACGTGTCGTTATAAATGTGAAACAAGCAATGTTTTAAGTAAATTAAGTAGGAATCTCATCTTTCATGCATTTATGACATGCTGTTGGTAAGAAATATAATTGCATCTGTTGTATATTTTAACTATGCAGATGTGAATATTGGCTGACCCTGATTTGAACTGTCTTTTCCTAAAGCAAAAAGACCTGGTTTCCCCATGTTCCTTTGTTAGTCCAAAGTGCATGGGTGAGTTAATGATAGGTAATCTGCGGGGGGATTCTGCTAATCCTGAAGAAGGAGGGGGACCCAGATAGCCTTCTGCCTTATCTCAAAGAAGTAATAAATTTGGGGAGTGGTAGTGTGTGTGAATGATTCTGTTTAAGGTACGGCAGACAGAGGGGACATGATGGAAGAGGCCGGACCCAAGTCCTGCCTGATACGACACGCCCCCTGCTTCCTGAACATCGACTGAATGCTCTGGCTTGGGAAGAGACAGAAGGATTCAGCCGAGGGCCAGAGAAAGGGACATATTAGTTTTAGGAGCACTTTTTTGTTGAACATTCTGTATCTGATTGTAAAGATAATTAAATGCAGATGTTAACCTTGAAGAATCTTTAGTCTGATTTCTGTACCAAATTGTGGACACGTCAGCCAAAGGGAATTATTGGCTTCATTTGGTGACCCCGACGTGATGGTGCAGAAGAAAGACAGAGATGAGCTCAAATATAGACTGGGTCCGTCGGCCGGGAGAATTCTCTCTTCTCTTCTCTCTTCTCTTCGAAAGAGGTAAGCGGATCGTTACTTTTGAAAATCTGCACATTGTTTTAAATGGAAGAGAGAGAGAGAATTCGGCTCGACGGACTGCAGCGTGGCCAGACGACCGCCGTGACGGGCGTTCTATCGGACGCGATAGAACAATAGTCAGGTTTTTCGACGTTTTTGAACCTTGAGGGAAGCATTGGTCACCTCAAAAAAAGAATATACAGGAAAGCCACAGGGTTATAAGTGCAAAAGAGGCACACCGTTTTAAAGTGCAAAAGAGGCACAAGTGTTTAGATAAATAGAATTAGAGAAATAGGGACAGTTAGGGTCAGAAGTTATAGGAAAAAGGGTACATTTAAACAGAAAAAAGCCAAGTATTTAAAATGTGGATTCTGATAATAATGATCTGATTAATGAGAAAAGAAGGAGCCACTTGGCTGTAGTATACGAGTTTCATGTGAAGAAATGACAAAAGATCAGTCTGGGAGTTTTTCTCTTGTATTCTGATGTAATGTTTCGATAGTTACAGAGAATCAGGAAAAAAAAAGATTCTGCTGGAACCCTCGATACATTAATCAGGTAGCAAATTGTAATGTTTTCCATTACTGACGTATTTAAATAAATGTAAAGTGTCGTTTGACGTGAGAGAACTCTCACCACTGATAAAACATTGTCACGATAAAAAACGAGGAAAATGTAGCAAATTTTAAAGGGGATGTTCATGAATTTGGTGTATTTCAGTCGTACATGTACTCCTCTGTTTGAGAAACCACACAGCCCCTCCTTCTCCCTCCTTCTCCCTCCTTCTCCCTCCTGGCTCCCTCTCTGAAAAATGCTTGAGGCATACAAGCCACTCAGCCCCCCCCCTCCCTCTTTCTGTCTGCTCTCTCTCTCTCCCTCTCTCCAGTTAAGAAAGAGGCATACCAAATATTTTTTGTAGAAAATTACATTTATACACACGATAATGTTACTATCATGGAGTCATATGATCACAGAACTTTGAGTTAGATTATAAAGAGGCATTGTTTTATTCTTTTGACCATCTCCAAACGTCTAAACAAGTTATTAAACATGTTTCCCAACGTTTTGGTGATATAGAATTTAAACTGATCTTAAAGAACAGTATACTTTTGGAAAAATAGAGCTTAGGATAGCAGTTGAATACAGATTTGGTTTTCAGAATTTAATGTTTAAAATGTTAATAGTAATTATTTCATAGGTTTACTTAGATTCGTAATTAATCATTGGTTTTGTATTGTATTAACACACTTGTTTGCGTTTCTTGTTTGTCTGTTTTTTCTGAGAAAACTTCTGTCTGTTTCATTGGCCGATCGCCAAAATCGTCCCTGCCACAAACCACAACCGAGCATCATCATCATCATCATCCGCAGCAGTATCGGCTGCAGCAACAGCAGCAGCATCATCATCAGCTGCAGCAGTATCGGCTGCAGCAACAGCAGCAGCATCATCATCATCATCTGCAGCAAAGTACAGGCCACAGACTTTTGCACAAACTGGGTGAAGTTATGTGCAGGAAGAGGAACGGTGTGTGAGCCGAGCAGAAGGACACGACACATTTGGGTGCGCCAGATATGAAAGAAGAAGAAAGACATTATGAGGAAAAGATTGAAAGAAGAAGAAAGTGATTGAAAAGAAGAAGAAAGACATGAGAAAAAGTTGTCGGAAGAAGAAAGAAAGTGATTGATTGAAAGAAGAAGAAAAAAGACATTGAGACAAAGACATTGGACACTTTGAGACAAAAGACACTGAAAGACGCCATAAGAGGACGTGGCCAGGCTAAATGAGACAGACAGAAGGTAAATATATACAGACAACAAAAGCACAGAGACATATTAAGACATATTTACACATTTAGGTCATTCGTTCATAACACCACATTTAGCTGCATGAAAGAATACAGGACAATCGTTAAAATTAATTAGACTCTTGCTTTAGCATGAGACACAAGGAGATTAGAACAGCAGTATATTTAAAGTAGAGGAGCTCTATTATTGAAACTAGTATTATTTAAAGTTATAGACGCGGAGAAGTTTAGAATTATTGATTTTGACTGCATGATCTTGGTAATACGGATATTTAAAGCAGTGTTTTCAACCTTTGAACCGTGGCTCGTTAATCATTTAAAAACAATCACATTCACAGATGAAACTGGTGCTAGAAAGAGAACTGCAGCTTTTAATGGACGCTGCATTTAGTACAAAATGGTTTGTTCAGACAATTAAAGTTTGAAAAATGATTTAAAGCATTTCTGAATTTTGGCTAAAGGTGATATTGGATCATTTCTGATAACACATAGACGCAACACTGTTCATTGGTTGAAAACAAAGATGTAGGGACATTTTTTGAAATCTTTTATGACATGTTTCTCTTCCAAATAGCTAAATTAGAAACAATTAGGACAGTTATGTCTTTAATACAACTGTTGGCAGTTTATCTGAGACATGATTGGTGCAAGTACAACAACACACATAGGACAATGGTCTTTTCTCCACATGAACGTGAAACAAAGGT